TTATGCCCCCTGCCCCCGCTGGCAAAGCCACTGGACTGAAACTGTTCGTTAACGTGCACATGAGCCGTATGGGGCCAATGGTCTTTTTTAGAATATGGTGCGCTTTTTATAAACTTGCATTGCAACCCGTAAAACTTAACACAAAGGGGAGTTGCTTCGATATGTATCAAAGTTTAACAATGAACCTCAATGGTGTTATTGCTAGCAAATTGTATATGTAAACATCCTATAATGTGCTCGTGAACACATACCTGCTCGATTGTAAATTTTCACTTCTTTAACCCTGTAGGACTTTCCTAGATCCACCATCCACCAATTTTCAGGTTGCTTCTCTAGATGTTAGAAAGAATCAATACTACGTCTATTAGGTTTAATAATAATATTATATATAAATATATTATCAGTATAAATATTATTGATAATATTTAATTTTTTTAAATTTCAATTTCATTGGATATTTGATACGGAGCATATAGCTTAATTACATCAAATTTAAAGTTAAAAATTAATTACAAAAAAGACTAACAATTAATGAAAACAATACAATTTTTATTAAAATTATCAGATACAGACTGTAAGATATTAATAATAGTAAAAATACCAAATATGAATAAAGACACAAGCAAAATGAGAAAACTTTAAAATTGAAGGAAAGTTTATAAAGTAAAATTAATATTAATAGTGATAATAATAATAATAATAGCCTAAAGATAGTATGTTATTATTATATTATTATTACAGTAATGTTATTGTTATCATCTGTATTAATGTTATTGTTAATTATTGTCAATATTGGTGCTCTAGTGAATCTAAAAGAACCCGTAACTTTTTTTTAGGCATAGGGCCTATGTTCCTCTCAAAGCATTGCTTCAATTAAAGTGTGTGTGCACTTACGTGTGTGAGTACAGCTTTGTTCGTTGTTGTTGGTATCAAAGTTACCATCAATTGCTCTAACTGGGATACCCTTCCATCCAAGAGAACTCTGCGTGGCTTTAAGCCCTTTAGTCAACAACTCTGTGAAAATAACAGAGAATTTACCACCTGGCAAATTATACTCATATATATTCATATATATATATTTATAGTACCGTCAATTCTTAAACAATTACAATAGTCACTATTTTCTTGTAATTTCGCCTTCAAAATCTAAGATGTAAACTTTATCTTAAGTCCTCGAATAAGCGCCGCACCAAACGTAATTTTTTTTTCGCTAAGCGCCCTCACCCTCAGATCCGCCAATGTAACCTGGTCACAAGAATAAAACTTCGACATCTGAATAATAACAATAATAAATAGTACTTGTAATGTGATATGATCTATTAATATTTTTGAAAAGTCTCTCATTTTCTTTTTTCCATATAGAGTACTACAGTGTTACGTTACGATACCAAGATATCACGTGATACTACTCCGTTGCTATTGGCGACACAAAATGCGTTCAACCGGACGCAAGTTTTAGCACTGACAAACCATTGACCCCAATTTCTATCGTAAATTTTGAGGTGTTGTATCTTAATGTAAATTTTTAAATTTTAATTCATAATTAAATGTGTGTTCGATAACAAATTATGTGAGCTTTTCTGTTTTTAGTACATTTTGATGGTAAACTATTAGGTTTTAAAAAGCCTTTTCCAAACCATTAGGATTATGAAGTCATTTAGGCGTAATGAACGGTAACCCACGTCTGATCGACAACAAAGGGGCCACCTGGTTTTGTGACGACGCGACTGTTGTACTCTATAGCCTTATTTCCATAAAAGAAATAGTTACCAGTTAAAGTGTCAGGTCGTGTTTATATCTACTGAGATAGAAACCACAATGCCTACAAAATTCTAAATATGTTGCGCTGGTGGTGGTGACAAAGGGACAGGTGTAGCATTTATATTCTGAGGTTGCCTTAATATGTTTGTACCATGAAATAGTACTCTTCATTTATTCATGCTTTCATTTATTAATCCATTCTTTTATTCATACATACATTCATTCATCATCCATCTGTTCATAGTAAAAAAATTATATCCATACCTTCTCCAAAAACCTCGACCTCACAAAGCGTCAGGTATTGGTTCTTCAGCGAAACACTAACGTATTGTCCTTTAAGTGTGCACTTTCGAATAATCACGGAGCTGGTGCCAACTGTTATTGGCTC